TACAGAGCATTACGGGAACACTATAGGGTCAGGAACACAAACATGTATCCCTGACCCTATAGTGTTAAAAACCCCATCTATCCCCCCCCACCCCCGCCCTTCCTCCAGTATACTAAATTCTCACCTTTATTTCAGTCTGCAGCTGCTGTTTCTCTCCCTGATCTGCCTGCTTGGCTGACATCATCAGAAGTTTTGAAGAGCCTCCATTTTGTTTAAATGTACATAGGGATTTAGGCCAGAGTGCAGGTAACGTTCTTTGTTTTTACTTTGTATTTTGAGCTGCTGTAAACGCGGTGCTTTATCTTTGTGTTTTGTATCAGAAGTGGCAGACTGAGACAATCACAATGCTTTCCTATAGGATTGGCTGAGACTGTTAAGGCGGCAGATCAGGGGCAGAGCCAGAACAAGCCAACTACAGCATTGAATCAATGCATCTCTATGAGGAAAGTTCAGTGTGGGTGGAGACACTCAATAGCAATACTGCATAGTGTGCAGCACTGCCCAGGGAAGCACCTCTAGCAGCCATCCGAGGAGTGGCCTAGGCTGTAATGTAAACAATGAATTTTCTCAGAAAAGACGATATTTACTGCAAAAAGTTTGAAAGAAATAATTCTATTCATCAGAACAAATAAAATAAGCTGTAGTTGTCCTGGTGACTATATTGTCCCTTTAAAAGTGGGTTTGCCATCAGTATATTAACTTGATGCTCTTCTTGTGATTTTAAAGATTTATGTATGAGGGGATAGTGCTGTTACCTTCATATTTGGATCCATCGGGATACATGAATGTCCCCACTCCATGCTTTAGGTTCTGTGAATATTCGCCAATGAAACGGGCGCCATTTTTGAATCGATATGTACCCTGTTAAAAGAATTCTGTGTAAAAACAAGTTTGTTCCATATTTAAATTAACGTAACAACTCTGTTAGAAGGGCGGTGTAAGGGAAACCTTACGGTGTGTGTAAACGTGGTGCGCTGACCTCAATGACTCTCACTAATGGGAGCCATTTAGCAAAGAAAGAGTTAATGTGCCTTGTGTCTCAACAATGTCAACAAGGCCAGTATGTTCTAACCTCAGGTACTTAATGGGCTAATTTTAAAGCATGCTTAACAGAAAGCCATGGAGATGGGGTAATAACCTGGGAATTTCCTAGTCTGTTCAGTTCCTTAATATTTCAATACTTTTGTTACATACATTTTGTTCTTCATGGTTTCCCAGAGTGGAATCAATATTTAAAAGCTGCCATTCAACTGTATTTTCAGAAGTTCTC